AGCAATTGGGTAATTGTGTTGGTAACCATGGCCACACCAATATCCTCACACTTGAAAGATAAAAATAGTATCTTCACTGCGCGCGGTGAAGATATGATTTTTTAGTAAAAGGAGAAATCCTGGTATTTCATCAGTATCTACATAATAATCATCAATGAGATCTAGTGAGTAAAAAGGTTAACAAGGGAACACAGAAGTGATGAAGAGCCCGCATTCCCTAACTATTGAACGTCACGCGGTCAAGAGTTAGGAGACATGCTCGAACTTGCAAAAATTAAAACCATTCAACATACAATGAAAAGTTAGCAAGGTTTGAAACATGTTTCAACTGAAAAATTGTTGGCAGTGAAAGGACTTGCCCCAATACTCATAGTTTCCGCTGCTACGCCTAGCGGACTAACGTGAACAGGGAAAAACTTTTCTGACTGACCGTCCGTCAAATAAACACAGCGATTCGAAAGGGTCTTTTAAAAAAACGCTACGTCATTTGAGAGCCACAGATGGTCTCGGCAAACTCACCAAAGCGATGGTTAATGAGGTTGTCATACTGATGCTGGTTTCTTCGTTTTGACTTGCGGTGAATATAGCAACACCATGGTTCTTGTCGATAGCTACTTGTCGACAGCCAAAGCGATATCTGCATATAAAAAAAGAAGATACGGAAAACAAAAACGCTTAATGTCGCGATGGCTTAGAAATTCCTCAAGTTCCGATACACAACGCCTCTCAGGTCTTACTTAAACAGTTTATTTCTAAGAATTGGTTTCGTTTCAATAAAATATCCCCGAGTTCATAAATTTCGTAACTTCCCTTACCCGAATGCCTTAATGTGTACTTAAACTGTGAGGAAAATCTATGCATTGAATGCTCTAATAGTCACAGAATGTTATTCCCAACTTGGCACGCAGTGTTCGCAGTGACCTTCCTGGGGGCGTGTTGAAGACATTTCATACTCAGCTGTAGTTAGGTGATAGAGGATTGACAACCTTACTGCTTTTGGATGGAACCTCAAGTGAGTTAGTTGCTCGCTGGTTCAAACACGAAATAGGAGAGGAAAGGAAGAAATCGAGAATTGCATTACCGTATCTTACCGGCAAGAGAGAATTCTCATTTGCGCTCTTAAGATTTCAGAGCCAGTTTTAACGACCACCGCTGAGATTCCTTCGTTATCAGAATTGTGGAAATAGCTAGCCAACAGGACAAACTGGTTTTGTACTTTGGACGGTAAACGGAAGGACATCACATTCTGACGATGACAAAAAAAAAAAAAACTGAGTCTGTATGCCTACAATTTGAAACACTCAAACAGCTTAAAACCAGCAGGGTTCTGCACTCACTCTAGAGCCAGTCAGAATACGCCCATGGAAGGGAATATCCGTCACTCGTCGGTTTCTTAGTACGCCACCAACAACGGAACTGTCCTCTGCCTGGATAGTCACAAATCCGTCTTGTTTGAGGCTGAGGAACGCAAAGTGAGAGCAATGGCTATCGTCCCCGCTAATTTTACAAGGACTAAAGTCGTTAACCACGAGGTTCTTCGGTTTGTAATATTCCTCTGGTAGTAGCACCATGTAGTCCTATAGAGAGATATAGAGGTATAACGTTAATGGGCATTGACAGACTAGTTTCATTTATGTGATAGTTTTCAGAATTTCGTCTAGTACCTCAGTGTATTCGAGAGAGTAGGAAATGCGAACTCCTTACTATTGTTGGCGTGCTGTATGAAGAGATCTTGGTTCTAAGACACTATTCTTGAGTGAAACACTTTATAAGATATCGAACTCCTACGTCACCTTATGCAACTGGCATTGTTAAAAGTGAATTATTTTTACATGGTCAAATTTTGCACCGCTTCGGCAGGCAGGGTCAAAGTCAACTTTATCTTAACCTGGCAAAAGGCTAGTGCTCTCCCACCCTGCACAGAGGCTGAGTTAGGTGCCTTTGCAGAGATTAGAGGTGCAACTAAGTTAGAATAAGGAACCAATTTATGGCTGAAGGTTTAGTTTTGTCCACGTACCACGAAAAGATCAGTAGCGGAGGCCGACATTGTAAATTTCCACTTTCCCTGACTCAGCATAATTTGCTGTGCGTCTCCCCAAGTGTCTCTGACCACAAGGAAGTCAGCTGAGTGGTAGAACCAATTCGATGTTGCTCGGAATCGGACATCCAGTCTCTGCTCTGTCGCAGAGCCAGACGGAAATGGAGCTACAATGAGACAAACAGATCTTTTTCGCACTGGCGGAAAACAGCTTATTTATGCCGGACTACATAATGTGCCCCGTTTCTACTCATACCCTTCTCTGACTACTGCCTTTCGATCGCTGGTGGTCGGCCTTATGGAGTTGCAGGGAGTTCGCGTTATGTAGCAAAATGAGATTGACAAATGCAACAAAGTTGTCCTTCTCAGAGTATGTTGTCTTTAAGAGCGGGAGATATATAACTAGATTTCAAAAATAAAGTGGGTAAGTTTCTAAAGAAACTGTGGGCTGCGTCGGTGGAGGAGAATAACCAGTTAATTTTGGTTCGCTCTGACGAAGGGCTATCACTCAAAACGTCAGCTTTGAAACCCCTTACTGTGGTCAGTTGACATCATAAACTCAGTTGATAAAAAACCAAAATTACCTCGATTCAAAAAGCCGTGGCTTAAAAGAAAGCTTTGGAGGAAGTGGATAGACAGGTGTGCATATCAGGGAAAAGGAAAAAGAACCTGAGTGAATGAACTATACTTTTGAGTTAGTTACTTAGTTCCTTAGTTAGCAAGGTCGCATTCTTGCTCGCATCAATGCCGTTTGCTGCTTCCATCATTTCCATCCTTTGTTGCAGTTCTCATTCTCCTAAGACATGCCGAAACCTGAATCAAATGATTACGGTTATAACCCATGTGGGGGAACTGGGAGAAGTAAACAACAGACAGGTCACATTCTTTCTTAAGGAAAAATTGGAATTAATACATTTCTCAAATCGCTACTCATGAGAGTTTCGTGCATTGCCTAATAAGACGATCTGCGCTTGGTAATTTTTTAATCCAGCCTTAGAAATAAATAACTAACACTTACCTGAGTTCAATGTCGGAGTGAATCTCACTAAGGCCGTCACGGTGGCATATCGGGACAGTAAGTAGTAGAATACCAGTTGGTATTTGCTTGTTCGGGGAACAGTAATCATCGCATATACTGACTTCTATAGAAGTGATAAACGAAATGTTATTAATAACATGAAGGCATATCCTAGTAGCTGAACAAAGGTAGGGAAGATGAATTAATGCCTAGGCCTCATTTAGCTCTATAACAACACAAAAACGAAACATTCTCGGAAACCTTTTTAATCCGAGCACCCACTTACAAAAATATGATTACATTGTTACCTGAGACTGCGAGAAAACTGCGTAACCTCGCCAAGAAAATCCCGGAAATTCACTCTCGTCGTATCTGAAGTAAGCTGATCTGTCGCTGTCAGTGGAGACCGCATCTTCCAACTCGATTTTATATTGATGAAGTGTGGGGTAGTAATAATCATTAGACGTGACCCTATGGAGAAAAAAACCAAAGTGACGAGAAGACAAAAAAAGAGGAAACTGAAAATCAGTGATGAGAGGAATAATTTAGACGATTTCGTTCGTTTAAATCTACTCGGAAACGACTGGCCTGTTCAGATTTCTACACAAATGTCTCAATCTTAAATACTTTGACCTTAGACATTAAGTCAGCGTGCAACTTCTCTTTACTGCCTTGCGGATGTTTTCATCCTACTGAGTATCGAAAAGAGAGAGGAAAAGGATCAAAATCGAATTTGATGGGAAAAGGTAAACAGTTTTCCATCTTAAAATAGCTGAACGTTTGAGCAGAGTTCCGATCAGTTCAAACAGTGGAGCCATTTTCGATTACGTCGATTGCAATCCGGGAATACGTTTACGTCGCTTTACTACGCTTTGTGATTGGTTAAATAGACCGCTCACTCCAACTTCTCATCCAATCATATGCCACACCAAAACCAAAAACCAATCGAGACTTGGTCGTTTTTGATTTACGTTCTCATTTGTTCTCTAATAAATTTGACGTTGATCTGACAAGTCGGCTGTGATTACATTGGTTTTCGTTTTACGACACTTAGCCTAAATGTACCCTTGTAAATCAGCATGCGCAAGGACAAGTTCTGGTTAACCAACCAACTCACCTGTCACACTGGTTCCCACCGATACCCGGTAAGCATGGGCATTTTCCCGTGATTTCGTTGCAAGACGGGCTAATAGATCCACCTGCATTACATGAACAACCTGTAACATCGTCAAAACAAAGACTGCGTGACGCAATGATTCCTTAACTTAGGCGGGCGACCAACAGTGACTGTCTGGGATACGGTGCGGATTTCTTTGCCTCACATTTCTCTGCTAATCGTGGAGGAAAACTTCGGCAGGGGCCCCCATTCTAGACTAAAATAATGACAAAACTGAATCCTATAGCCGTAGTCGGCAGGATTCGAACGTGCGCGGGCAGACCCCAATGGATTTCTAGTCCATCGCCTTAACCACTCGGCCACGACTACATTATGTAATAGACGTTTTTTTATGAGCAATTTGGAGAGAAGTGTTCCATTCTTAACAGCTTCAGATACTTTTATCGTCTTGGGTGTACACTTCAACTGAATATCTAAAAATAATTTGGATATATCAACAAAGTTGAAATGGTAAATTGGCCACCGTAACGATTACAAAAGCTGACGTTTCGTTGTCTTGCTTGCTTTTTATCATCATTATTTTTCGTCTTTCTCGATCACAGTGTTGAAACAAACACATACACTGAGAAAAGCAGTTTCTTAATACTTGTGAAATTCGCATTTCATTGTTTCCTCTTTTCCTGGACGAAACAACAAAATGAAATGTTATCGAAAAGAGGCGCAAATACATGACTCAAAAATACTTGTCAAATGCGACTGTCAACAGCAGAGTGGCGCAGTGGAAGCGTGCTGGGCCCATAACCCAGAGGTCCGAGGATCAAAACCTCGCTCTGCTAATAATCTTCTTGTTCTTTTTTATTTCAATATTGGATAGATACTTTTTAGTTCTAAATTTTCTAAAACAAAAAAAAAAAAAGAATAGAACAAAATTATTTGGGACGGAGTCGATCTTTTTTTTTTCCTCTTTCGGAGAGGGTTACAAATATAAATGAAGCTGACTGCAAAAGTGAAAATATTTTAAGTCACAATGGACTTTCCCAAGACTGCCAAGCTTTTGTACAAAAGGCGCAAGTACGTGAGTCAACGGTAAAATAAGGTCAAATTCCATGTTTCCCTCTTACTTATCCATCAGTAGCAGAATGGCGCAGCGGGAGCGTGCTAGGCCCATAACCCAGAGGTCCGAGGATCAAAACCTCGTTATGCTAACCAATTTACTTTTTTTCCAAATGACGTAGTTACTATAAAGTTCTAAATTTTCCTAACTTAAGGTGGCTCGTACCGGTTTTCATCTTTTTAATGGTTTGTAACTTTGAAAGAATACAACAGAAAGACTAACCAAGGCCAGTTAAACACTTTTACGGGGTTGAATTAAATAATAATTGGTTATCAAAAAATAGGTGTCATTTCGTCACTAGCAGTTTCCATGGCAACGCTTTCATAGGCCTATTAAGACGCATTTTTTACCTTGTGGCTTAAATAATTCGAAAACTAACCGGGTGACCCCGTGATTTTTTTTCAGTGATTGCTTTTGGCACTTGAAAAGGAAAATGCACAAAGATTTTTAAAAAATTCTACGGAGCGGAATTTCAGAAAATTTAGAAAAAAGGCAATTTTCACACATCGCAAATTTCCTTCCGTAGAATTTTCTAGTTTTTTTTCTGATGATTCCTTTCGACGTTATTATCATATTGGAACAATAAAAAGAAGGGGTCACCGGACTTGTTTTCATGCAATAGCTTTCGTGAGTTTAGCAATTTCCACGCGCGTTCTCGCGCATTTAAAAATCTGGATTCTATAAGATCGACATTTGCTCATGATCTGTTTTAGCTACCGCTGACAATTGCGTGTGCTCGCGCGAGCACTTACGATCTGATGTTCACAGACGTTTACTGCTAAGAAAATCATTAAACAGCCCTCAAAGACAGCCTCCCAGGCTCATCTTAAAAATCCTACACATTACTTCTGGCTATATCATATTATTTTCCTTGAAGTTTCAAAGTCTTCTTCCACTTCAGGTAGATTATCCTTCACTCGAGTTCTTCTTTTTTCGCCGTCGCAATATTTCATATCGGTTGAATATTTCTTTTAAATGCGAAGTGAAGCAACCTTTACTTCTCCGAAAATAGTCTTCTTTATTTTAGTTTCTATCTCCTGCATTCACAGTGGCCGCTCAACACATCAAATACAAGCTCTTAGGTAAACTTCTCACATAAGTAGAAAAAAATCCTCGTGCCGCTATCTTTGTTTTAAATTTTCGTCTTTTAATCTCGCGTTTCTTTCGCACACGTTTCTCTCGCGCGTGACGCAAGAGTTATCTGTTCCCCGCGCGAGGAAACTAGTACGAGCCACCTTGATTTAACAAAATTATCGGGATGAATTCGACTTGTTTTCCTTTTAGAAATGGTTATAACTATAATTGAAGCGAAACCAAATGCACATGTATTGAAAGTCAAAATGGACTTTCCTAACTGAAAGTTCATATACCATGATTGATATGTTTCTTTCCTGTTTTTCTTTCTATCATCTGCGTTTGAAATTGCACAGCAGCTGATTGACCATGAAGCTTGAAAAACGTCCAAAATATACTTAGAGTAAACCAACAAGATGCAACGATATTCAATTTTCAGCTCTTCCATCTTCGTCAAGTCAGAAAAAATGTTAAAAACAGGTTACTAAAAACGTTCATTAAAATACTTGACTTCGCGGAGTTTACTTAACCCGTTAACCCCCCAGATCTAGTGTTCAATTCTCCCCTACAGCTGCTACACATTTCCCTGCAATTTAGTTATGAGATTTTTTTTGTTCGATCAAGGTAGCAGCTTCTACCTGAGTATTCGCATTACCTGTTTGTTGAATCATGAACGGATATCATAAGGAGAATTCAAGAGGAGTTAAAATGGTTATATGCTTAAGATGGAGAATTACTTACGTTTACAACCGAATGCATTCGGTCCTTCGATACTGTAATATCCATCTTTGCATTGGTCACAGTGGCGACCAATCACGTGACTCTTACATGAGCACTGTCCAGTGGTTTCGTGACACGTTTTGATCGATCCCAAAGTGCCGTTAGTGTTGCAGCCACACGACTGACAACCCAAAGGGTTATTTATGTGAAGATTAAAGTGAAATGGTTTGCAGCTGTCACACTTGTCACCCATCACGTTATCTTTACACCTACAGTTGGTCTAGGAAACGGAGGACAAATTAACACTTAGTCAATGTATCCCGAGGTGTCGTAAAACGAAAAACCAAATCAAAGCAATCACAAAGGCCTGTTAAAACAAAGATTAATATGACAAAGAGCTATGCAAAGAGAACTCAAAGTGACAACAAGCAAACTGCCAAAGTGCAGGATTGAATTAAGTTTTGTATAGCATGGGCTGTGAAGGCAGCCTACGGCATATCACTGAAAACTATCGATTCAAAATTCTCCCTTCGAGCTTCTACAGACTTTTTTCGGAAATTGGTTAAAAGCATTTGCAGCGATTTCAAGATAACACACCCTAGCTGATAAATGAGTCTATTCTCATCACCATACATGTTTTCAGATAATTTATTTCTTATTTAATCCTTGAACTCCCAGCCGTGATTTACGCGTAACTTCTCTATGTGATCCCTATATGTCTAATTCACATGGAAAATATGACAGCCAATGGACAGAGTTACTAATTAGATCTCCCGCCTCCCGGTTAGCTCAATTGGTTAGAGCGCCGGATTGTGTTGTGCGGGAGGTCGAGGGTTCGAGCCCCGGCCGGACCAATATTCATGGTCTTAAAATAAGTGAGGAGAATTTGCTACCTTTTTATAATCAAGAAATGGATAGATATACTAGTCTTCTCGGATAAGGACGAATAAACCGTAGGCCCCGTCTCCTGCAGGGTTAGGGGTAGGAGAAGTTAATTTCCCACGCACGAGATTACTGTGTGGTGGATGTCCACCCCTGGGTGGGATGGGTGGGTGTTGGCCCTGAAAAGCCCCTATGGGGAGTGGTCAATTAACCTATGTATGTACGTATCTTGGGAGTTAACGTGTTTAAGAAGATGTTACATGTTTATCACTTGTGGAGGTTCTCTAGTTAGTACTTACGTTATTGACCGATCCACATCCGTTCTTTTCACCAGGGAGTAGTTTGATTCCAGCAGCTTCACAGTTACACTTCTTACAGCTTGGAAAATCGTAATAGCCAATTCTGCACTCATTGCATTTCTTTCCATTGAAATTTCTCCTACACTGACATTGACCATCTCTTGAGCGACAGAAAGTGCTTAGCGAGCCACGAGTATTGCAAGCACAGGCTAAATGGCATAAGAGATTTAGCGTTACCTTATCGTCATTTGATGTCCATAACCGGTGGCTTATGGGGAAGTTTCCTAGGGCAAAGTCCTAACCTAACATCCTTCTAAGATAAAGAGGGAAGGACGCAACACTATACCGTAAATGCTCTGATAACTACTCCCCTCTACTTTCTCTACCTCTCTCTACTTTGAACCCTTTCTAATCTAGTCTATCCACTGACCCACTATTTTATCACTAAATGTTTTATACTTTCTCAACTTGCGAACCGGAAAATGTAGAGATATTTTCAGAAAGTCCACTTCTTCTCTGCTATCATGCTCGCACAATGGTTTAGAACTACACAATTTACACTTAGCTGACTCGTATACTGTTTTCATTAATTACCTTCGTTGTTACCCAAGTAATCACGTTCATTGACAGAAGCAACACGATAAAATGCACGGGGATGATGACTGAGGGGCATAAAACGAGATAAGTTGTTCTTTATCTGTCATTGGTATTTCCTTCCATAAAGCCTTTAAAGGTTCTGTCCCAGTGTCCCACCTTTTCCGTATATTTACAGTCAAGTCTAGCGAAAGTGTCACGGCTACCGTAGTAAAATATCCACTTACGCTTGCAGTTTGGGAAACCATAATAAGTAGAAGATATACATCTATTGCATTTGTATCCTCCGAATCCAGGCTTGCAGCGGCACCGTCCGTTTGAAAAACAAGTTGGAGAAACTGATCCTAAATCGTGGCAACCACAACCTTAGAAAATGATACAATTGACGCTTGTTAGTATTGGTAACTTAACGGATGACAGAGCGTAACTGGGCAGAGTAAAAACATGGAGACGAGATTTTCAGAGGGTAACAAAATGTAATCTTGATTAATACTGAGGTGGAAAGGTCGTCCGTAAAAACCAATCCGTTTCTTTTTGCATGTTGATCATCGAGGAAGGACATGGAGGACAGGAGAGGGAGGGGAGGGATATAAAATATTTTGCTTCCTCTACCGGCGCATGCTCCCTTCATAGGTTGTTGTTCTTGCTTTTTCAAAATTGCACTCTTAGTAAAAAGCAAGTAAATGTGGTAGTGTAATGCTAGTAGTGAAAGAAATCGTTCCATAATTATCTCTAAGCTGTGAAAAATTAACTTATTTTTAAGGTGTTAAAGCAACTTATTGCATAATTTTCTGTTTAACTTATTGTATAATTAATTGGGTAATTAATTGCATAATTCATTGTGATTTATTCTTACTGTACTAATTTGTTGTTAAGCTAAGTGACCAACTGAAATTAGTTAATTATAAGCAGTTTTGATGTAAAAGAAATAATGTTCCACTTACGTCGGCAGCGTGGGAATCCAGAATGACCAAGCTTACACCTGTCACACTTCCTACCCACCACGTTGGCCCGGCACAAGCACTGGCCACCAAACTCCTCACAGACCGGGGACCTGGACCCGATTACGTTGCACATGCATCGTGAGGGCCCTCCGAGGAAACGCATTGTCAAAGAGAACACATCCTGTCGACACTGTCGCCCGCGAACTGGGTGGACATGGAAATGGTCTTTACCACAATTTTGCAAGAATTCAGCAACTTTGTCACTGGACTGTAGTTCAAGAAGGCTTGTGGAGTAGACGTTTTCAGGCACTAGAAGCATATATGACTAAAAGAGAAAAAAAATCATGGAATTAGCAGCGAGCATATTCTGATGAAGACATAAAACTATTAATTGACGCTCCTACGATAACAGTGTACTTTCTCGAGTCTCTTTATCCCGATTTTTAAAAGAACAAGCTAGTTCCCTCTACAAAAGGACATTCCATATCCAAACAAAGAATCGATCAACAATTGACACTACCCTAGCTGGCCGAATTCTGTTATCTAGCTATATGAAAATCATACTGCTTTGTCACTCTTTCATTTGAAATAGCACGTGTAAGTATAATCTGCCTACCAGTTGAGTTCCCCTCTCGTGTTGTATCGTGGCAGTAAAAATCCCTCGGTTAAACAGGAAACTTAAGGCTTCCTCTTCCCCGACGACGACACGACAGCCCGGATCGGCAGGACAGTAATGGAACGTCACGGGAATATTTGGCTTTTCGTGGCCAGCAATCGATATTTCTTCGACTTTCTTGGAGAGACTGTTAGACTGCCGATAGTGTATAATTATGCGATACGACACAAAGGCCTTGACGGCGCCGTTGAAAATTGATGTCATCTATGGAGGCAATGAGAGAGAAGAAGATGAACAAACGGAGGCTATAAGAGCGTGATCTCATCTCCCTAAAATTGGCAAGAGCGAAGTGATTTAAAACAAAAGTGGTTCACCATGCACAGGTTCACTGCACAAAGGCTTTACAAGTGCGACTTCATATATCACCACACGCAAACTTAGTGTAACATCATTGGGTACCACACGAGTGCATCAGGTCACTTGTTTTACCACATGATAACTACCTTATCTTTAGTCCGGCGAGAAAATGCAACTAGCTGGAATACGTTCTCGGGTATTGGATAAGTCGCAGGGTAGCAGGTTTTATTGACCATTCTGCAAAGAAGCCTGGGCTCGACGTACTGTATGTTCCACTTAGCTTGAGGTACAACGGTGATAGAACTCTGGAAAAAAGAGGGTGTGAAGAAGAAAAAAAAAAGATGAATCAGTTAACATATTTATCGTAACTCTCCATCACAAGAGATTATATACTGTTATAAACAGTTATTATCCCTTACAATCATCATGATCATCATGGTCATTGTCACGCCATTTAATTCAATAATAATAATAATAAAGAGTATTTCTATAGCGCACAACTCCAATAAATTACCCGTGGCGCTTTACAACAAATAAATATAAATTATAAACAAACTACATTTACTAGCATTCACTAACAAACATTTTAAAAAGATAAGTTTTCAAAACGCTTTTAAAAATGTCAACAGAAGAACTCCTACGTATTGAAAGAGGCAAAGAGTTCCACAATCTAGGAGCACATACTGCAAACGATCGATCTCCATAAGTTCGCATTTTTTAAGATGGGGCCTTACCATTAAGAGATTTATAAACTAAAAGAAGAATCTTAAAAACAATACGATGCCTAATGAGAAGCCAATGCAGATCAATTAAAATTGGAGTAATATGATCGAACTTCCTAGTCATACAAACTAGACGCGCAGCAGAGTTCTGAACAGATTGTAATTTAGCAATAAGGAACTTAGGAAGTCCATAAAGTAGAGAGTTACAATAGTCAAGTTTAGAGGTGACAGAAGCATGAACAACCATTTCGGTGGTTTCGCGGGTCAAATACTTCCTAATTCTCGAAATATTCCTAAGATGATGAAAGGAAGACTTGCAAAGATCAGAAATATGTGAATTAAAAGACATAGTAGTATCGAAGACAACGCCAAGATTGGAAGCGGCTTTCACTGGAGCAATTCAATGTCACAGTCGAACATTGTACTAAGCGGCACCGTATTAAGCGGTCACCCGGTATGAAGCGGTCAGTTGTCAAAGTCTCGAATTTGTTTCCTTTCTAATTTTTTAAAGTGTAACTTTAAAATCTATTAAGCGGTCACCTATATTTAGCGGTCGCGGTCACCCTTTATTGTTTGTCCTCCACCTGTAATAAACGGTCAATGAAAGCGTAACCACTTCAAACTAAGAATAATTGGTCAAGTAATTTTTAACCCATGTTTCTCTCCCAAAATGAAAGTAAGTAGTATTTTCAAGCGAGATTCTGTACATTAAGTGGTCAACTATGGCATAAAGTGGCGTTGTTTATCGTTTTTTTTATAATACCCCTACTCTGTGAAGCCTGTATTTAGCGGTCAAACTGTATTGAACTATCACCCCGCCATTATCCGTAGGTAACCGCTTAACACAGGTTCAAAAATTTGAACTGTATTCTTTTGGTCGTTGTCATTATCACTGTCATTCTTGCTGTTGTCATCATTATCATCATTGTCGTAGTTATCGTCATTATCCCTACCACTTTCAACCTCATAATCACTATAGTTACTATGGTATCGTAAGGGTCTGATACCGCTAAGGGTATGATCCCCAATCCCTTAATCACTACAGTTATTATGGTATTGTAAGGGTATGATACCCCTACCTCATAATCACTATAGTTATTATGGTATTGTAAGGGTATGATACCCCTACCCCATAATCACTATAGTTATTATGGTATTGTAAGGGTATGATGCCCCTACCCCATAATCGCTATAGTTATTACGGTATTGTACGGGTATGATACCCCAACCCCATAATCACTTTTGTTATTATGGTATTTTAAGGATATGATACCCCAACCCCATAATCACTATAGTTATTATGGCATTTTAAGGGTATGAGGGTATGATACCCCTACCCCATAATCGCCATAGTTATTATGGTATCGTAAGGGTATGATACCCCTACCCCATAATCACAATAGTTACTATGGTATCGTTAAGGTATAAGTAAAAACATCCGGTTCTCGGTTTAATTCCAGCAGTACGATTAAATTTTTGTTCTTTGTCCAACGATGGGAAATCTGAAGTTTACATCTCTTCTCTTCTACGACCGAGATTAAAAGTTACCATCTCAATAGTTTCGTTTCATCAAAACAACTTCCAATACCATGCGAAGTTGGGAAATAATAAGCTAAAATGTCTGGCATCCGGTAGTTCTTTAAAATAGTTGGTTCTGCCATAAAACCCTCCGAAAATCCATAGAGACGTAATTGAATGTCACGCATCGATAGAAAGTGTTACACGTAATCTAATCAGCTTAACGCAAGACACAGAGAGCTTACCACGCCGATCTTCGCTGAGGCAGAGCTTTCAATTGTCACCTTGGAGGTCTGTCTGGCCATAAATTCGTAAGTCTTAGGGCGCTTGTTACCATCCATGGCGAACTGGCGGCATAAGAACTGATATCTGCACGGCAGAATCTCCATCGTCCCTCGCTGATCACCCACTGTGATAAACACTCGGTGAATGAATCTCTCCGGATGGACATAAGTAACCATGACAACGTACGCGCCAGATTCTGGTACTGTGATATCGAAACCTAGGATAGGCTAGGAATAAAAAAGATAATTTATTAATTGATTGTCTAGACTGATCTTGATGTACTTTAGTTTCCTTAAAAATATTTTTTGTCAGAGTGTTGCAAAACCAAAACCAAAACCAAGGTAAATACAACAACCAGTCAAAACAAAGGTGAATGTTACAGGAAGTCAATATGAAGACTCGAAGTGAATACAATTCAGCGCCTTCAAGTGCAGGAAATTGGTGAATGACCGAGTTTCGCTCAGTTTTTGGTCTGTATCCAGTTCGTTAAGAGGGAGGCGCGATTTTCTTAAAAAACCAATTACAGACTAAACTTAAACGGGGCAATTGAAATGTTCTTTCGACACCTTACAGTAAACCTCTTTAAGTAGTGAAAATTTACCAGTCAAGGTAGTTAATGACAATCTTCTCTTACTACGAGTCGGGAAAATGGTTTGGAAATAGAAATTAAAAACTCAGAGATTGATAAGGAATCCCAACGACAAGCCCTGTGTCAACCTTTTTACTCTTCTCTGGCTCTTATTCACGGAAATAATACAATTACCACTGACAATCTTAATTCATCCCCCCAATAGGTTGTAGGATGATTCTCCGTTTTCTTGACAACAATAGAAGTATATTTTTGGTGCTCTTTACATGCCTTATTGTCCCTAGTTATTGTCACCTTACATGCTATGCGTCACGCAATTAAAAAAACGGACTAATTGTACACCTGACTTTCTCCCAGCAAGGCCATATTGGAGAGTTTTGGTTCATCTAAGAAGTACAGTGCATCTGTGAATAAGTAGGCCTGTCTTCTAAAAGGGTGCGTGTAGGCAAGGCTCCCAGACACAGACACAGATGGACTTTTTGGGTCATAATATGTATACATATCACAGTGCTCTGATTTAGAGGTTCGTAGCATACATGGTCCTGGTTGAACGTCTTTTAGAAGGTCAGCATTGTAATAATCTTGTGGTAAAAATACAATGTAATCCTGCAAACAGAAAAATGAAATAATTCTAACCTCACTCTGCTGAGTACATATCACTGTTACGTATTTCTTTCATAGAACTTGAGTCTTTCAATGCAACAGCTACAGATGAGACTTGCAAAAATGATTCCACTAATGATCTACATCAGGGCAATTCTCTATGATTTTTGGACTTTATTTAAAAAAAAACGCGGCAAAAAAAATTGGGATGCGAATTAACAAATGCAATAATTAATCAAATGTAAGCAGCAATGGACTAACTTTCAATAAGCCATTTTCAACTTGAAGCAGAGTGGCGCAGCGGAAGCGTGCTGGGCCCATAACCCAAAGGTCCGAGGATCAAAACCTCGCTCTGCTAATAATTTTCCTTTTTTAAAAAATTCAATCGATACTTAATAAGATATATCAAAGTTCACAAAGCAACCAGGTGGACGATCAGACATCGATTGATGCTACTCTAGTTTAAGGATTTAGTAAATGTAACCTGGGATTCACAATTTATCGACCTAACGTTTCGACAATCCTGTCTAGTTCCTTCATCAGATACTCAATAGTTCTAAATTTTCCAAACTTAATAGAAAAGGGAGAAATCCAACGTTTTTCTTTTTGGAAAGGGTTATAAATATATAATTGAAGCTGAATTCACATGTTTCCATATCTTACGTCAAAATGGACTTCACTAATACATATATCTTATTAACCAAGCGCGAGGGCCGTACTGGGAGAATATCGGCCCGAGGTCTTGACAGTACGGACCGAGCGCAGCGAGGGGTTAGGGTTAGCGAGGGGTTAGGGTTAACCCGAGGATCAAAACCTCGCTCTGCTACAACCTTTTTTCTTTTAATGAACTGAGCTTGAAATATTAAAATTCAGTGTCTAGACTTAAAGAAAATAGCAGGTCCTCAAAGAGAGCCAATTTCAGTTTCTAGAAATTGAGTAAAAGATTTCACAAAAGAAGAGGTGTTACTGAGCTCGTTGACTGTAAAATTACGATTGAAATCACTAACGAGCCTTCGGCCATAAAAAAGCCGTCATTTTTGTTGTGCGTGCCACTCATTCGTGCATATATTAGGATTACTATCACTGCAGAAGTAAAAAATGATGTGGCGTAATCTACTTTATTCCTTTTGCCTACACGATATTTCAGCGAATCGTGACAAGTTTTAAAATGTAAATATATAAAGATAGGCCGTAGTCGGCAGGATTCGAACCTGCGCGGGGAGACCCCAATGGATTTCAAGTCCATCGCATTAACCACTCGGCCACGACTACCTCAGTGAAACCCTCGGTCTCCTTTCCATCGCTATTTGAAGAGAGTTCTTTGCTAAGTTTCAATATCCCTTTCATCTATATATTCATCTGTATATTGTTAAGTTTGTTTAATAATATGACTTGCGGTTGGCACAATGGAAAAATCGAAGAGTATTCTGATGGACCAAATCTTAATATACTTACGCTTTTTGATCCCTTTTCAGCATTTAGTTTGTCTTTGGCATGCCGAAAACACTCCGAAAATACATTTCGTGGGATAAATGAAATTCAAACAAAATAGGTAGAAAATTCCAGCAGAGTGGCGCAGAGCGGCTTCAGAGGATCACAACTTTGCTCTTCTGATTATTTTTTGTTAACTCTTTACGCTTTTCATCCTTTTGATGGCTATGATACGCAGATTTTTTTAATTTGCAAAATAAGGTTTGACTTATTCGAGAGTTTTATCTCTTTCGGATAAAAACCAATAACGCATGAAAGTTCCGCAAAGTTAGATTACAATCTAAAAGTTCCAGGAAGCAAAGTACTAGTATCTGGCGGGAGACAGCGAAATACAGCAACAGAGTGGCGCAATAAATTTCAAGGATAAGGGGCAACGAGGATACAATATCAAAACCAAGAGCTATGTGTTTTCTTAAAGTTACATGTGGTGCGATGTATGTAATTTTTTTGAAGAAAGAAACAAAGGAACAAACAAATTCAGTACCCTTACCAGCAACAACATCGTGCTGTGGGATGTTACAGCAACAGTCCAAGCACCTTCATCCAATTCAAACTCTCTGTTTACACCTCTTTTGTTTACTGTGAGCCTCAAATTCTTGGCTCGTTGATCACTTGGCTTCCGAGGGGGAAATTGTACCTCAAAGCTGTATGATTTAAGTAACGACGCTAGAGTAGAACAGATAAATAAATGCGATGCATGTAGAAAAGTTTGGTGTTTGTTACATCGCTTTTGAGATCACTGCGATACTTGCAATCTGACTAACCCTCAGCAGTGCAGCCTACTTACGAATCGCACTATTCTTTCTGCTAAATCGTATCTTACTAAGCACTAACACTGGAATACTGAAACGAAACAGCCAATCTGAGGTGCGATTTGTTAGCAAATCACACTCCTTGTTATCATAACTATTATTATTATTATAATCATCATTTGCTGCCAGATCAAGAAGATATTAGTGCTTAGCAAACCCTGCACTGACACAATTTAACTGAGCCATTTCAAAATGGATGTTAAGTGGCAATTTTGCGCAATTTTGATCCAAATATCACTCTTGCTACCTTAAGGATACTCCATCAAAATGCATAAAGTACTCTAGTATGGGCCAGCTGAAGTTTTGGATATCTAACAATAATTCCATGAGCACGCGTTAGATATGAGATGGTAAATGGCCTTCGAGGCGCGTAACGCCGACTTGGCTGTAGCCAATCTCGTATACAACAAGTGCAAATGGAACAATTGCTTTGCTAAATTTCAGTAAAAATCCTGAACGTTCGGATATTTGGAGCTTTTTTCAGCTCCGCAACAGTTGGCACAAAGCATTTTCATATAGCGTGACTCGGAATATGAGCGTTTCACCGGGATTGAGTAAACCAATCAGAACACTAGAAACTTAATAAAAAATTATACCTCTTGGATACAGCTCAACGTTAGCAGAAGTAGGTTGGTTATTCCTGAGCGCATAGTGAAAGATGACATGATATTTACTTGTCTTGGGGATCTGCACAACAACTGCGTACTCCTAATGTAAAAAGGCAATGAAGAGGAGTCTAGAATTAATCAAAAGACGCCGAGTATCTCCGAAACAGATAAATCCGTCTCGACATGGTTATCTGGGTTCAAGTAAGAATTAACATACACAAACAAAAAAAACAGAAAAAACAAAAAACAAAAAAAGTACAAAACGCAAATCAAAGCAAGCATGTGCTTCAAGGATAAGTACGTATTACAACATTCTGTTGCATTCATAACCCTGATTCCTCTCAGGGTTACGAAGGGCTAACGCTCGAAACGTCAGCTTTTGTAATCGTTACGGTGGCCAAATTACCATTTCAACTTTGTTGATATATCCAAATTATTTCGTTACCCCCACCGACGCAGCCCCAAACAGTTTCTTTAGAAACTATCAGCCCTGATTCCTCTCAGCTTGGTTCTTATTTATAATACGCAGCAGGGTCGCGAGACTAGCATTTTCACGACAAGGGGACGATGGGAAAGGGAGAGAGAATCTCTCCTTTTTCTCCCTTCCCAGTTTCCCCACGTCCAAGCTATCACCGAAAAAGCAGTCCAGAAGAAGTGATGACAGTACCTTAAAGGGAGGGAAAAATGCGTACCCAACTCCCGAGAAAGATGGAAAGACGCCATCATCTGCCGCTATCGGGACCCGGATTTTAGTATTGGATGTCAACACCGCTCTCTCCAGCTCAGCATAGGTGTGATACAAAGTTGGAAAATATGTCGCTCTAGATGGATAGAGACTGCGAGAAAAATGTTCAGGTTTCAGACAATGGGCCATAGCCGAGTTCTCAGAATCCTCAGTTTCAAAATGAGGCTATATGCAAAACCTTAATTGGGAAAATGAATTCATTTGATAGGTTTGACTGTCCTCATCACCTCGTTACATAATTTAAGGAAGTTGAAGGTTTTCACCACTTGACTCCTTATGATAACTTCAGCCCGCTTCAGGGGCAACCACTGCGCAGGCTTCGAATAGCGAGTTAAAAATGAAGAGGCTCTTGGAAAAAGTAACCAAACTATTGTACGTTTTGGCTACTCCTGCAAACTTCTAAAGTAAACGAAAGATGCAGTTTCCATGCAGAGAATCCACTGCTGCGCACATTAGCCTGATGGTGCACGGTTTTTTGAAACCGTTATGAAATTTTATGCTTGAATGGCAACCATGCCAGCTAATCTTTTTCAGCGAATGTTGAAAGACAAAGGGTAAAAGCTTGTTTCGTGGCAGATGAAAATTGATTTACACTCCATTGCGTCCTAAACACGTTTGGTTTTAAAATCAATTTTGTAGCAGAATATTTTTTTCAAAGATGTGCCAAGGAAAAGGGGTCTAAGGGAGAAAGTCAGCAAGGGACGTGCCAATGGCCTCTGGAGTGAAAGTCTAACCTGTCACATTTCTTTCCTCTGACTCCAGAAATGCACTGACAGTTTCCTAAATGTTTCACACAACTTTTTCCGACTGATCCACCAGGATCACATTTGCATGCTGTGAGATAAGAATAAGTAAACAAAACAGTCACAAGAGTCCTAAAGGATCGATGTTTTCACTAAAGAAAAAAACTTTAGTTACCCTAAATCCTGCTTTAAATCATCTTGTAAGATTCACATCATCCCAAACCCACCCCTCCCCCCTTTCAAAGTAAAAAGAGAGACAAAAGGAGCACACCAGGAATGAAAACCAATCAGTACAAAAAAAAAAAAAAGGACTTGCTAGACTAACTTAAAAGTCATTCATTCGTCAGTTCAACGCTCGCACTGAATACCTATTTTGTTCCACCCTTAACTTGGAACGAAGAAAGGAAAACATTAAAATGCAATTATTCGCAACGGGCCACGGTCTGTGTTTAAGTCTACATTAAGCTTTGTCAGCCTCCACACACTTAAAAGAATCAACGCCTCACCTTTACAGCCAAATATATCATGTGACTTCATTCCATGGTACCCATCTCGGCAATTCTGGCACTTTTTACCTATCACATGATTCTTGCAGTCGCAGCGCCCATTTTGCGCATGACAGTTACGTGTACCCGACACAGTCCCACCAAGTGAGCAGCCACAGGATCTGCAACCAAGGGGGTTGCTGCCACTGAAGTTGTAGAAACCGTGCGTGCAACGATCACACGTTCGGCCGACAACGTTCGATTTGCAAAGGCACTGATACTAGACCAAGGATGATATAGAAAACCTGTCATTTTGTGATGTGAATTGAGTACCCAAAGGTTGAAAGTTTTTGCGTGTAAAAGCTGTCCAAAGAAAACTTGCTTAAGAGAGTAACAATGGTACGTTTTCGTGCTTCAATTGACACATCTAAGCAACTAGGGACTTTTTCCGCGTTTACAGATCAAATCTTAACTCAAGGGGGAGGGGGGTTATACAACAATTATGCAAACAGTTACGCAGTTAACACTGCGTCTCGAAGTTGAAATTACTTCTGTTTAAATAAGTTCAGTTTTACCACCGCACCCACTCGAAAAGAACTCTATAATCACAGAAACTGTATAAAAAAAAAACACGCAATTTTAAGTGGTGGGCAAAGTCTCGCTGCTTCTGCGCACTAACAACCAGATCAACAACCCCTACCAAACCAAATCAAAAAGCAAAGAGCTGATTTCAGCGTTACCATTCCTCGCACTGACCTTGGCCGAACCGTAACACATTCTTTTAGCCAATCCAGGCAAGAACCTGGTTCCATCTGCATTACAGTCACACTTGACACACGCAGGAAAGCCCACCATGTTTTCTTCACAGCGGTCGCATTGACTTCCTCGAATGTTGGGCTTACAGGAACACTCCCCGGTTGTATAGTTACACTGTCTGCTGTACGACCCAAAGGTGTTACAACTACACGCTGCGGAAGAAAGATGAAATAATCAAATATCAAAGACGCGCCTATGATATTCTTTTGTTGCTTGGGATGGAGCATGCTTTCCTAGTCGTGATCTTTTCTACACCGTATTTAGAGCAAAACAAAACGCAAACAGTCCAGGCGCATTAATTCCATTTTTGCTTCCTCTTTCGAAACAGAGACGACAAAATCAAAATAAAATCTCCTCGACAAGAGGCGCAAGTGCATGACTAAAAAAAACAAAACGCAAGAAAGGCGGTCAAAACGTGTTTCCCACTCTTTTATCCATCAAAAGCAGAGTGGCGCAGTGGAAGCGTGCTGGGCCCACAACCCAGAGGTCCGAGAATCAAATCCTCGCTCAGCTAAGGATATCCTTTTTTCTAAAAAATGACATAGACACTTTTAGTACTAAACTTTTAAAACTTAACTTTGCGAGGGCCTCAACATTATTTTCCTTTCAGAAAGGGTTTTCTATATGAATGTAGCTGACTCTCAACGTACAAATGTTCTAAGTCAAAAACTACATGGGTTCTGTACCAAATTTCTCTGTTAACGCTCATTGAACGTCTACGTCACAGATTTACCACATTTACTTACCTCTACAGTTAGGGAAGCCATAGTAGCCGTTTGCACAGCGGTCGCATTGTATCCCGGCATACCCTTCATTACAGACGCATTTACCAAGTTCATTACAAGAGCCATATCCCCGAGGCGAACACGAGCACCCTGGCGACAAAGACAGACTAGTGGCTCTAGAGAACACTGCTAAACTTTTACTTTCATGATATTTGCTGAAAGAGATTCTACCGGATTTGAAAATCAAGATTTATCATTGGCTGACGTTTAGCATGAAAATTTTGCAGATTTTAACCGTTGCGTTTTGGTAAAGGGTCTTCGATCTGTATTGCTATCGGTTCACTTCTAATACTGAATCTCCTCCACCCTGATGCATATCTCGGCTGCATATTTGTCTCCAAACAGAGTCATAAACAACAAGTTTTTGTCGTCCTAGCGGTGCTAGGATCTTCAGAATAAACACAAATCCAACGATTTGAACGTTTCATAGGGCAATAAAATTCCAATAAGCGGAATGAAGTTTTCTTTAGCTTCCATAACGACTTGAGAGAATTTTGCTTATCTAGAAATACTCACTTTTGCAAACAGGGAAGCCGTAGTATCCTTTTTTACACTGTCCGCAGAAAAGACCTTCATAGTTGGGCTTACATAAACATCTGTAACCGTCGGCGCTGTCCTCACATATGTTAGATGTTGTTGTTAACGGATTACATCCACACCCTGGAAAATCATGGAGCTGTGTGACTTGTTGCACTGCAACCTAAGCAGCAAGCTCACGCAAAACACCATCAAGTTTAAGTTGGAGGCTACATAAAATTGGATAAAGGTTGATAGTTTCGAAAGAAACTGTTTGGGGCTGCGTCGGTGGGAGTAACGAAATAATTTGGATATATCAACAAAGTTGAAGTGGTAAATTGGCCACTGTAACAATTACAAAAGCTGACGTTTCGAGCGTTAGCCCTTCGTCGCTCCGTTTTTTTTCAGGTCTGAATTTCGCTATTGCTTAAATAGCGCTATCTACTGCGAGGATCGTGCATCATACGCACTTCAACTTTGTTGATATATCCAAATTATTACATAAAATTGGGTTTCGGTAATGCACTTGTGACTATCATNAAGATCTCTGTATAAATGCTAGTAATTTCACTTGCGGTGTATAGTCCATAGTTCTAATCCCTAAGGAAGACTGGCGGATGCGAGTCGAAAGCTCGGTTGTGCAATTTATTTTCTAATGTTGTGTGTCTCAAGTTTAATTTTCTCTCAAAGTTATGTATTTCATCATAGTTAGTAAATCCCTACATTTTTTTAGAAATAAAAAATTAAGAACACTTGAGAACACTTTCAGGCTGATTTCACCTAAAATACCCGATATATAAGAACCTAATCAGCCTGAACTCCGAAAATGGATGTTCTTGTATGCGGGTTTTTAGATACAACCCAAGCCACTGTACGAATCCCAAGATGTGCAAGCGTTTTGGGATATTCCCGTCTATGCAGAGCATAAAGAGGTGAGGGCAAACCGGGTGGATGAGAGGATAGTCCATCATCGGGAAGAGACAGTGAGTACCATTGAGATGAGCTGCCCGTGGGTTGAGAATCGTGGCAAGAAAGATAAAGAGAAAACACCCAAGTATGGAACGCTTCGTGGGAGATGAAAGCACAGTACAAGGGTTATAAGATCAACCAATACAACGTGATCATAGATGTGTTGGGAGGCTGGAGTGTGGACATGGAAAGATCCCTCAGGAGGCTCCTAGGTTCTAGATGCAGAGAAATCTTAAGGCTAATGCAGAGATCGGTCATTTCAAGTACGCTCCACATCGCCCGGACATTCAAGGTTGCTGTCTAATTGACTTTAAGATAGATTGTAAATAGTTAGCGAAATTGATAGTAACCCGCCAGTGGCCAGTCTTTCTGGGAAATGTTAGGACGTCGCTTTTAAATTAGGTTTTTAAAGGAACACGAGCTGTCTTAATTAGTATTATTAGTTTCCCACCATTTCTACACGTTGTATATTATAGAAAGTTGTAATCCCGGTAGGAACATAGGTTACGTTGTTACGCCCTATGTTTTATTATTATTATTTTTTTTAGTAAGCTCAGCATCTAGAGGTTCAGTACTGCGATTATTATTATTAATAATAATAATAATAATGATAATAATCATGACAATGCTCAAATAATGACAAAGACAACAACATCGACAACAATGACGATAATGAAAATGACCATCAATAATACCAATAGTACTAATGAAAATAACAAAAATAATTGTCAACTTACACTGACAGTTAGGAAAGTTATAATATCCAGCAGGACACTGATCGCATCGCTTTCCTCTAAAGCCATATCTACAGGGACACTGTCCGGTGTACGGATCACAAAAGGCACCTCCACCATATGAACCGGAAAAGTTGCAATCACAAGCTAAGAAGGAAAGATATATATCTTATTAACCAAGCGCGAGGGCCGTACTGGGAGAATATCGGCAGC